GGATACGACGCTCTTCCTAGAGGACTGATGCCCATTCGAATAGAGTTCCTTTTGAATGCACTGCTTGGTCTCAGATTTGTGGTCCGTCTCCATGTAGGAGTAAAATATATAAATATACGGAAGTTCTTTGGCTGAACGCATCCTTATGATTAGTGGCTGTTTTTGTGCAGGAAAAGCGACCGGGAAGCTGGGGGCAGCAGTTAAGGCCCATCTGCTTACCTCAGCTAGTATTGTTACCCAAACTATCGATGGACACAGCTTCGACGTTCGCTGATGTATGTGGTTGCATTTTGCTACGATGTGATTGGGAGTGGAAAAACTCAATCAGCAGCCCCATAACCCTTGCTTCTTCTCTTAGATGGACATTGAATTAGAATACTAAGTTTTGTCACCATACGATGGGGTACTTTAACCTTTCGTCCCACCGTGGAAGGTGCTACAGGACATCTTAAGAGTTTTTCAGAAGTCTCTAGGGACGAGTCTCCCGCTGGTTTATCAGGGTCATTTAGATTGAAGCAAAATGATTGCAAATGATGGCTTACTGGAATGAAAGGTCTTGGTCATCGTTCGACCTTCTTTACTAAGAATAAGCCTAAAAGCTATCAGTCAGTGTTTTCATGCTGTTTAGAAATCTTAAAGCTTATCAGACCGGCAACATCTCTATTCGGAACGTATACACCCGCACTAGGGAACTTCAAAATTATCCACCTGTGACTTCATACTCACATTGTGCGCCATCAGCGCTTGGTGGGCTGCAATTGTAACAATTTGTCGGAAAATTTGTAGCTCAGGTGCATTCATCGGTAAATGCGAAGCTTGGTTAACAGATCAACAGCCACCAGATCAGTTACTACGATTTTGACAACTGACCTCAATGATAGCTTTAGAGGAAGTCCCATACGTATATTGATAGGCTTATCTGGTGCGGAAATCTGTCAGGGTTACTAAGGTTATTGCACAGCCTACGGTGGTATGGCTGCCTTCTTGTCCTATCCAGGCAGACTTGGCGAACACCGTTTGCGTGGGCATCGTTTTCCATACGTCTTAAAGTCACATCACAATGGTGATATATGGACTCTTTTTCGTCTAATCTGTGGGGCTTGTCTCGATCGATTTTATTTCGACAAACCGGCCAGTTGATATTCAGAATGGGTAATTTTTGGAGCATCGCAGATCTGGGTCTCGTCTCAGGATGTTAGCATAAATGATGTGGCTGAAATGTATCGCTTTCCAGCTTATTCAGTGAAGTGAGCTCTTTACTTTCCACAATATTCGCCGAATTTTGCTTTGTTTATGTAGCCACTGAATTCTGGTGTTTATTCTCAGTGACGGTACAACTAAATCTTTGCGCTCTATTTTGATGGTGATGGAAATCGCACATCTGTTCCTGTTTGAGGGACACTGGAGGGCCTCACTAGAACCATCTGATAGGGTTGCAATATTACCACATTTTGATGTCTTATCTCCAGTGTACTAGTCTCACAGCATATCCACTTCTGTTCTGTCTCATAGCAAGTTTTGCAGAGGCGGCGACGACAGCGGCACAAAGTTGACAATTTCAAGGTTCCTTTGTGCACCTACGAACTGCCATCCTATCCGACGCAAGACGAAACATCCTCCAAAGGCTCTCGGGATACTGGCATTGACAGTGAAATGCGTGCTTCAGTAGACGAAGCAGGAGGATATAACTCATCAGGACCTTCGGAAGTTGCTTTTCACATGTGAAGTTACAGTAAATAGAGTGAACTTGTTTGAAGATACGTGTGTCCAACTTGTACCAAATAAAATCGGGGGTTATTTGTTGTTCATGCCATCACTGGGTAATCAGGTGAAATGTGAAAACTATGGGTTCCGGGGTTACCATTTCGCGTATTCTGGGAAAGTTATTTATGTAATGAGAACAGGTGGGATTCTTTGTTTTGTGATTACATAATGTGTATACCGTCATTTCCTTCTCTCGTGAATGCCAAAAACGTCTTCATTAATAATCTGAAATACGACTGTTTTTGTATCTTCGGTAGTTTTATGAATTAATATCCCGTAATGAAGAAAACTGTAGGATCGTGCTTGGGCGCGAAATGAATGACTACAAACGTGTCTTAGCAAACCTGTGGTTACTTAACTTCAGGCGAGATGTCCTTTGAAAGCATTTGGGTTTGGGATGAGAGTCAGTGGCCAGTGATTCGTTTGTACCGTATATTTTGTTGTAATCTTCCTCTATCGATCCTTCAGCAGTCGTATGTAGTCTAAGTCTCTTGTAGCACGTAACAATTGGGGAGCAAGGGTGCGTATCACCACTTGCTGAGCAGCACGCTTCCATTTTATCGCCATTGGAGTTCGGTGGAGAATGATTCACTGCACCCAAAACAGACTAACGCAAATATGTTTCCGCCGATCGGCGTATGTGGAGGTCTGTATTGTGTGACACCCATTGATCCGGCTTATCCTGTCACACGAGCTGATCAGACTGAAGTAGAATTACGTGGTGTATATCGCATTTCACACGCAGATTACCACGCATCCCGCCCAATGACCGAGAAAAGTCAAAAATCAAAGTTCTGCTAGCTGGTTCAACAGCGTCCATAGAATGGTTCACGTCGTTCCTTCAAAATAGGCGAGCAGAAAAAAGGTTTTGAGGTACCCAGTAGAACGAAGTGTATTTCTTAGTTCCCATTTCTTCAAAATCAACATATGCTGTCGAAGAGTTGATTATCCATCTAAATTACAGTTATCTAGCTCTTGTCATCGTCTGACAAAGCAACATCAGTGTTGACACTGGTTATTCACTGCCGTACAGCTTTGTATTTGAAATTCGAGAGTGAAAAGGAAATGAATATGGAATGTGATCGATGTCAATCTGGAGTACGTACGCCTCCAGACACTCATTCAGACAATCCAGAAATAATCTGAAAAGACGGACATCATCGACATCGATCTGCCACCGTTCCCTTCAGCTTCTCCAACCAGGCATGGGGAGGGTCACGGGGAAGGCGGATTGCACAACATCTGCAGTCTTCGTAATCTTTCACACCCTCATGCCAAGTCATAAGTTGTCCACCTCACAGTTTAAGCCAACCTGATGGAGGCGAGGGGGACAGCACTAACCGCGGTAGACGATATTTTGGCATGCACATTACATGGCAGGGCCACCGCAGTGGACGCTGCTAGATGGTTTCCGCGACCAACGCTGCGCAATCAAATACCTCTTTCTTAATTACCTGGTTACGAGTCGGCTGACGCTACCCGACACCAGCAGCACTCCCGAAACACAGGTGCCCAAAATCCTGCAGGTGCTTCGCATCGTGTCCTCAGGGGCCACGTTTTGGAACCATACAACAACACAGCCATTAATGTAGCCTGCTGCTTTCTACTTAGCTCAATTACTTGCTGCGGTGAAACGGTGGCCGTTTGCGATGCACTAAAGTATGTGGTGTGAAATAGGTACAACCGAAGCACACGCTAAGACTATCTTATATAAGTGTACGGCAGTGAAGCATCAGTGCCAACATTGATGTGGCTGTCCTTTGGTAATGATGATGCACGTGTAAAAACTACATTTGGGGATGGCCGCATATGCGCACCCGGAACCGATGAGTTATTGGAAATCGGTTTCTACCTTGACCGGCCCTACCTTTCGGATGGGTTTAGTCCGTCTTGTATAAAACTATTCCAAAATGTTCGTTTCGATTGTTAGAAAAGCGGTGACGTCATACTGTCGATCGTGATGATTTGGAATCTAGTGATGACTTTCGGTGTGCTTTGATTTCTTCGCATCAGTCCGATGGTAGATTTCGCAAGAGGGAAACTGCTTCCGCGGATGGACACGTGGGGGCGTCAGCTCACAACTCCGAATATCTGCTCACCATATTTACGAACATTTGCACACTAAGTCTTGTGTATCCACCAACCAATCAAGCTACAGTCAGCCTACGCCTCAAACAACCACATTCCACTGAGCTCCACGAAACGGCGGAAGCAGCTGTTTTAAAACAGGGCATGGAAACTATTCTCGTGACTCCAATTTACTAAACCCTTCAATCCGAAATGCCTCTCGTACGTGAATGGTACCCAGATAATTCCATTACGGCAACATTCTGCATAATTCTATCATTTCGAAAGTGGTATTTCCTGCGTTTTCAGCTCACAGATTGACTTTTATGGTCATTCGAAGCCATCGATATCCCATCTTTCTTAGTACTTTCAAATGCTATTGTACTACTCTCTGGAGACAAGAGACCAATTCTTGTTTAGCTCAAGATTCTATCGAATGCCGAACTGCCGAAGGACAATCTACCAGCTATTACAGGAGACCGAGATCTCATCTAGTCCGCCCATCATAGCGTCGATGATTCCCAAAAGGTCGGCACATGTGTCCATAGAATAAAAACCAAATGTTTGTTTATCCCCTGTATGAGTTGACTCTTGTGTATGAGCGTGCCTGTGGTTTGACCATAAAACTGACCGGTTGCACTCTGGATGCTATTCCTCCTGGTCCCCGAGAGATTTAGTCGGAACACCATGGTACTTTATGTGGGTAAGAGATTGAATAAGCGATGCAGGCCGCAGGTTATAACAGCCACGATGCAGTTATTATTCCGGTTAACGCTTCGCGGACGCAACAGTTCGATCCCATTACATCCAGGGTGTGAATAATATGTATATATTTTAGGGCGATTCCCACACTTGCTAACCGAATATCTTCTGCATCCCTGACTTCTGTGATGAGTTAGAAAACTGCACGGACGTCAGTGACCTGTCCAGCGAGATTTCACAGTTTACTGATCCTCAGACATTGTTGAATAGGTTAACAGAAGTTTCGTGTACACTTCACATGCATCCTTCAGACGGATGAAGTGTTCCGGTAATTTGACTCAACTACCAGTCAGTTAAATTATTTTCGGTGTCTTATAGGCCTTCACTTCAACAGTTGGTGTCATGATGGGGAACTACAACGTGAATCTTGTGCTCAGTACCGAGATGATATACAATCCTGACTTCATCATAAAAAGCCTGCTCCACTGATTACGTGGTACCAATTGTTATTGATGACAAGAACAGGGAAATGACGCAATTGTCAACTAAATTATTTTCGGTGTCTTATCCAGTAGGCCTTCAACAGTTGGTGTCATGATGGGGAACTACAACGTGAATCTTGTGCTCAGTACCGAGATGATATACAATCCTGACTTCATCATAAAAAGCCTGCTCCACTGATTACGTGGTACCAATTGTTATTGATGACAAGAACAGGGAAATGACGCAATTGCAAACAGTCCTCATGAATTCGAAGAAATTACGGTTTGGTTGGAACTTCCTAAGCAGTTATTTCGTCAGCAGAGTCCACCGAATCATCTCCATGATTCACTGAGCACATATACGCAACTTCAAATACCCAAGAGACACGAGATCGTGGGGCTGAATGACGACTTAAATGATGTGTATTGTGCGACTGTTCTAGAAAGAGTAATTTTTTGCTTTCTATTTTTAGTCTCTTACACTGCATACCATACTGGCTACCACGGTAAGGACAACCCAGAACTGCAGCCATCGGACTCATTAGATACTAAAGCAGCATATTAGCGAACCAAACAAACTGTGAAGAGAAGCAGTACCTCATCATCACGTGCTCATGTATGCAGACGAACAATTAGATTCAGTCTGGTATTCCACATATTGAATACCTGAATACCTTCCACATTGCGTAAAACAATGTGCTCTACCCACTTTCTATTAAATCTTTGAAATATTTTATCGTTCGGACATCGACTACGAACCACATGATCAGTGAAGATCATCTCTAGCTTTGAATATTATGTTCCTGTCAACGGCGGGTGACCCTAACCTCCAAAATTCGCTTTTTTGAACGACCAGTTATGTTAGATAGAAGCTTGTGGAGACCTGAATGATTGCGAGGAATCTACGGGCTGTGAATTTTATGGCCACTAGGAATTCGACTAAGATAACGATATCCGATGAAGGTCCTAATTGTGTTACTTTCGTCCTCCCTGAAGGTCATGCTACTCGTTCTACTTCAATAAGTTCTTCACCCACCTTTCGGAGATAGTCAATCTTGTATACTGTATACACATCATGAAAAGATTAGAGAAGCACAGCTACTGATGATTCCAATGGACCAGATATTCACATACTTACGCCACGGTCATACTTAGTTCATTCCTCACTTGTTGGCTCCTTGCTTTCTTGAGAGCACAGCATAAGGTGAGCTACCACTGTCAGATGCGTCTTCCACATTTTCTTATCTAATTTTACTTCCACTGACAGATGAATTATGCTAGGTAGGCTTTGTTCTCTTTACCTTCAGTCGGTTTGCTAATCTTCTCATTTTCGCCCACATTGCAAAAAAAAACCGAGAGAGGGATCCGCTTTCCTACACATAAGTTATTATTTCTTCTAGTCCGTTTCAGCACTTCGTTCTTTCGCCCTGCCGATGGTCTCCAGTGTAGTAGTGTGCATTGCGTTCCGATTTTTGTTACTTGAATGCTGACAGTCAGCAATGTACAAGTCCACTGGAAAGAAACAAGCAACGCTTCACCTGTGAAATCCGGTTGACCCTACTTCTTAACGAATGAGCAACCCGTGAGATTCCACTGCCGGGATGACTGGTGGAATGAAAAAAAATGGAAGAGCACGAGTGACCGTGTGAGAGCCACACCGGACTTAATGCACAGAATGAAATTTTATTAGAATCTTTCACGAATATCCAACATAACATTATTACGGCGAATTTCAGCGAGCCAGTCATCTGTGAACTGTGTTTTCATATATGTTCTCATAGTGTATTCACAAAAATAGCCACAATGAACACTCGAAGGCAGGCAGCTCGCATTCTCATTTGACCTTCCTCGCATTCAAGGCTAAGAACCATTAACACAAAAACGAGTTGAAACGGATCACCGACGCCTGCTAGACTGGGGACGAAGCGTTTGCGGACCGATTGCCAAGCTTGATGAACAAATAAACATCTAAAGGGCTACCCATATTTCGCAGTCACGGATAGATCACGTATTCTGGACGCAGTATCGACATTTCAACCGAAAGGAGGAGCGAAAAAGCCCACAGACGCTCCTAAATTACAAGTTGTTCTTTTCAGCCGGTTCTCAGGGTAACCAGCTGTTGAAGTATGGGCAATTTGAGCAGTGTGAATAGTTGGACGTCGTCTAATTTCCCAACAATTCTCACAAACGCCGAATTGGGCTTGGGATTCGATCGAACATGGACTAAAAACAGAAAAATGCGTCCCAATCCACAACTCCACACCAGCAGTTTTTTCTTCAATGAACCAAGATATGCGGTCGGAGACGAGGTGGAAGCAAACAAATCTTTCAGTTCCCCGGTTGAAAACGTTTATCAGTCATGTTAAGTGAGACCGACACAGACTTTATGCCTACCGGTGTCTTGGGAAAAAAACGCAAAAATTAAGTTCACCTTAGTAGTGACATGGCATTCACATGGGCTTATGACATTTCAAATTAAAATATGGAGAGCAAGGAGGGATGGAACAAGTTTAAACAAACCTGAAAGGCGCTACTGCTCAATCGGGAAACAAGAGCCAAAAAGTCCTACCAACAAGTAGGAAAATAGGTAATATGTACAGCAGGAACGCGCGAATCATTCAATCTCGAAGTTGAAGGCGGAACAGGAATGAAAGACCCTGGGTTAAATATCAAGTTCTTCGAAATACTTCTCCGCCAAACGCAAAACGTCCCTCGGTGAACCCGTGATTAACTTCTTCAACTGAACTTCAGTGCAACATGTGGAAATAGATTCTAAACCAAAATATTTCAGAGGACCGAAAGAAACTCACCAGCAATGGCGGAACTGGTTTCGGGAGAATACCATACGGTAAGGATGAATTTGAGAGAGTCTCTAGGCAGACGCTGACTCTGGAGTGGGAAAATGTTACGATGCAGAATTTCGGATTCGTCCGTACTCGAATACGGACACATATTGCCATTTTTGGCACCCAGGGGTTCTTTCATGGCTGCTGGGGGTAACTGTCGCACCCAACCACTCGGTTCACCCGTTTCCATCAGTCTCTCCATTAGAGAACAAAGGAAATGTGGGCTATCAGGTGAGCTGTCCACGACGATGCACTGCGCAAAGCAGGTCCAGTGAGGACAACATTCAAAACAGCTAACGTAGGATAGCCTGAAGAAGATAAACAGGCCACGTATATTTTGTAGAAAATGAAGGACGTTGAAAAAGTAAAGGGAAAATTCTACGATAGGCAAGCTTATCGGCCTTCCTCACTTCTTACGCGAAACATACTGGTACGACCAATCACGCCACAGCATTGACCATAGACCTCAAAGTGGCCAAAGTGTAAGCCAACAAAAATCGGAAATCATCATCATCAACGACAGCATGACATCAGTGCTCAACACCGATGCTTCACTGCCGTACAGCCATGACTTATTTGAAAGCCTTATTGTAAAGAAAAGAATGGTGGATGGGGGAGGGACTTAGTGCTAGCTTAACACAATCATTCCGAGGTGCCTACACCTCCAGACATTCACTCAGGCAATCTGGA